TTAAGGCCAGCCTGGGCTACACAGTGAGTTTAATCCTAGCCTGAAATACACAGCCCAACTCTGTCTCAAAAAGAAGGAGAAGAAGGAGAAGGAGGAGGAGAAGTAGAAAGAGAAGGGTGGAGGAGGAGGAGGAGGAGGAAGAGGAGGAGGAGGAGAAGGAAGAAAAAAAGGAGAAATCTCAGTTTGCTAAGTCCCAGGACTTTTCAGATAAACACTGGCAATGGTGGATGTAATTCATGTTAGAAACTGACTTTGTTTAAAATACAGATGTGGAGAGTTTTCAGCATTTTAATCTTTTCTAAATGCAGTCTCCTTGAACTGCAGAACAAAAGGTCTGGGAGCCCAGAGATGAGGTCTCCGATACTGGCCGGGCCTTTGCGAGCTGTGTGGCCTCAGCAGGCCGCTCCCTCTGACAGTGACCCCATCTGTGCAGATGCAGCGTGAGGACAGGGACTGATGAGAGGACCCCACACACACACATTCCTCCATTGTCCTGTCCGAGGTAATGAGAAGCTCAGTGTTTTCTACTCTTCATTTATTTCTGAAATCTTTTATTTTAAAGTAGGCAACTACCATTAAAATATACAGCTGTGTCGCATGAAATGATACACTTTAAAACCCTGGATTTGAGACATCTTGGTAGGCAACACGCGAGGGAAAACAGACTGCAGTCAGCAGCTGTCATCAATCCAAAGTTACACCACATCGCAGGAGTGAGACTTCCCAGGGCAGAGAGGGGAACACCGGGATTATCGTTTTGAAAGTTTAACTCCAGGGTTAGTACAGACAGATTAGAGATGAGAGAGGGGAGGGGTCAGATAGTGCAAATAATGGCAGCACATTATACACGGGCACAGATGTGCCCAAAAAAGACCCATAATTCTTTATCACTAAGAACAGCAGCAATAAAATTAAAGACATAATCATTTCAAAATGCTTGCCAATGATGCAAAATGAAGCACAGAATGCTATAAAGTATGTTTTCCGAGTAGATCTCAGTTATACAAGACAAACCCTTTCTTTGAGTTATTTGCAAACATTCAAATTAGATTTTAATTTATGACAGCTAAAATTTCTACCGACACATGTGTAATAAAAACATTCATGAATTATGGCAAATAGGCAAAATGAATTTCAAAGCATTAACTGTTTTTTAAGCAAGCTTCTGTGGAAGTGCTTTTCTAACTAAGCTGGAAGTCAGATTTCTGACTTGAGATTTGTCAGGCCCGAGGCAATACAGTGGTCTCTCACTGTTCCTGTTGTTCACCCAGGATGAGAGCACGGTACTGCCACAATTCCCCACATCTTCCTAGATGACTAGCACATCCCACCAGGGTAAGCTGAAATTAGGAACAAAGAGTTCCTTTCGACAGTCTGATTCTAACTGCTAGTGGAAAAGTCATTTCAAAACTGATGGAATGGCATTTCTTTGGACAATTTGTGTGAATTTTACTTCTATCCTCCAAAATCTCTGGCAGACTCACAGATTTGCATTCATTTGGGCTTTTGTTCCTCTTGTTGGCATTGTTATTTGACCTGCTTTTATTTTTATTTTGGTTTCCCCACCTCCAAAGGCTTTTGTGAGAATGTATTAATTTTTAGGTATAACTTGAAATTTCATCTTCCCCTGCTCCACATTGAATACAAAAATTCAATCTCTTTCTGGTCCCAGTGAAATCAGCCTGGAGATGCCTCTCAAATCTATTCTCTTTTCTCTTTGTGTTCATTTCAGAGACATAAAGTAAATTCCCAGAGCTTTCCCTGGAGAACTGGTAAACCATGAATGGAAAGAAGGTGTCTGAAAGAGAGCATGAACACATGAGATACAGTCTGTCATGCCAGGAGCATATACACATGCTCACACGCATGCTTGTCTACACCAGATGCTGTATTTAGAGCATTGCAGGCAAACGTATATAAAGAGTAAAGAGATGTTAAGCGTGGATCTACTGTAATTATGATTTTGAAATCACTGTCAGCAAGTGTGGCGATGACAAAATCAGTCTCCTCAGAAGAGGAAGAGCTAAGTTGCAGCATGATCGATCTGCTCCTTCAGAGCTTTCTACTTGGGTTACTCTGGGACCTTTAAATGTCATTTAATCAACCTTAAAGTAGTCGCTGAAGTAGCTCTAACTAAACATTGTAATTTAAGTGCTGAGATTAGTGAGATGTTGCTCCAGGGAAATTGATGTTTTGATTGTTTCTAGGGCAACAATTAATCTCTCCCAGAAGCAAATCTGTTAGAACATTAAGGGATAGGAACAGTGAAATTCTTTTAAATGAAGGAAGCACCATATGAAGATTAAGGTGCATAGAGAGATGCAATATAAACACACTAATCATACAAACATGATGTTAAGTAGCAACGTACTTACTTAGGAAAGAAGCAATCAAAATTTCACATGATTAGTATTTTTGGGAAAGAGGAAATTTTGGTTTTACTTTGTTTTCCGTGTTACTTTCTATGGTTTTTCAATACATTTTATTGTTGATCTACTTAAAGATTTGGAATCTAGGTATGGAACTGGAAAACATTTAATCAAAGGCAGAGAACAAGCAGACAATCTATTTATGCTTTTTTTTTTTGGTCTGAGTTTTCTAAACTTCCACCAGGTACAGGTAGAAAGAATGACCCTGTTAGCAACTGACATTGCAAATCAATGACACTCCAGAGAGAAGATTATACTCAAAAGGCATTACAGACCAGGCAGAGACACTACACAAAGAAATCTGGCAGGAAACCAAATGGAAAACAAAATGATACACACAGCACAATCTGCAACCGTCAGGTTAGCAATCTTCTGGATAGATTGTTTATCTGTTTATGTGGTAAATGGGCAGTTCAAAGCATTGAAGATACTCCATTCAAGGGAAGAAAGTCATCATGAGCCCTTGAACAAAGTGCAAAGCACCAAGCTTGTCATGTGAGGGATGAGAGCATCCTCAAGCAGCCTGTGCCACTTCAGAGGTCTTGGCATGGGGTGGGTGGTCCTCATTTGTAAAAGAAGCTCCTCTTCTTTTCAAAAAATGGATGCTATGTTACATCTCTCTCCAACACCCACCAGGAAATAGAAACTTAGTTGCTTGTTTGACACCTAAGTAGCTACAGAAGAGAAAGGTGCATTAGTTTATTTAAAAGGATAATTTGAAAAACACTTCCCCGAAGAATCAAAGCTTAGTTTTAAAAGGCACAGGAACTAAAACATAAATAAATGGAAATTTCCCAGAAGCCCTGAAGTGTGGCTTCCCAGAAGTGTGGCTCTGGCTGAACTCTGTAAGATGTATATTTCTTTTTCCTCTTCACAAATGTGCTATTTTAACACCTACTTACAAATGAGCATTATCAGTGTTTCCGACAAATAGCCAACGCAGAGGGTTAGGAAAATTGGAATAATCATTTCTCCATAGGTGGGAAGACAAATTCTCACTCAGGGTGTGTTCAGCAGCAACACTTCTGCAAGTACTATAAAGTCATTGAGAAGGGACAATTTCTTATTGCCTTACAAAATAAAATTTAAATAACCAATGCACCAGACTTCCTTTACTTATGTGAGCAGCTTTTGAAGACCCAGAGAAGTTGAGCACTGCTCTTGAGTTTTCTCTGATCCAACTGTCTTTTGTAAAACTGCCTCTCCCTTTTGACATTATTCTAGATTATCACCACCATGTGTCTGCTTCGCTAGAGCAAACGGAAATGGAAAATGAGAGTTGACTTGGCAAGTTAAAAAACATTAAAAAAAGAAAAAGAAGAAAGTAAGAAAAAAGACAGAAGAAGGAAAGGAAGAGAAAACTCAGGAAAGGTTATCTGATTTTGACTCCACCATTAAAATAAAATCATAACCAAGAACTATGGTAGAATGTACTTACTGGGAAAGTACCTCCCTTATTGTCAGCTAATTGAAAAAATAAATAAAAGATCGTAAAAAATGATGAATTTAGTCAGCATAGAGTCCCCAAATTTGAGTGTTTGAAAGGAATGCGTAAAGTTAAGTAGCTATTACTTGTAACTTTTGATTCTGCTAGATTAAACAACTAAATTTTTTTCCCTAAATTACTAATGCTTACAGGTGGGTTTGGGTTATTCAGAGGCAATTTTTCAAAAAAAAATTCTCCAAGCTGTGGCACAGGATAGGCATTATCCCCTATAATGTTCTTCTCATTTAAAGAGTGATGTTGAAGGATAAAAATAAAATTATTTTAGTTATACATTATAAAAAAATCTAGCTGACAAAGAGCTTTGATAAGGATATTTGTTTTGGTGAAATAAATTGGCAGTGATACAGAAGAAATGATTTGAGAGGAAAGGGTTCCTTAGAGGAAACAACAGGAGAATATAAATTAAAAAGTCTTACAAGGAGGAGGCTTTACCACTGGCAGGATATAATTTATTGTGGTCATTTAATAATGTGTACTTCCAACAACAATATGATATAATACTAAAGTCTATGTATTTCAAAGTCATGTTTAATGTTTACCTAAAAGTCTTAAGGAACTATGTACTGAGTTTAATACACTTTTTAAATATATTTGTGTAGGATTCTGATAGAGCAAATATCATGAAATATTTCCACTCACCCTTATCCAGGTTTCACTCCCTTTTATAAGAGGCTCATTTGACAATTTCTGAGCTTCCATGTCCACTTCTGGTAACTAATTTGAGAAAGTCTTCAGTTTTGAGGACCATTCTTATGATCCATGCAAAAAGGAAAAAGAAAAAAGCTGTAGGGCTTCTGCTGGCTCACCCTCCCTCACAAGAGTCAAATGGTAAACTTTCAGGAATTTCTAGAACCCTGCCACCCCACTGAGAATTTGAAATCGGCCATTGTGATGGCATCTACCCCATATAAATTGTCAAGTGCGATGAATCAGGACAGTTCCAGCCTCCAGCTAAGAGATGGTTAATAAACATTTACTAGTACCACAGGTCAGAGTCATTTTTCATAAAATATCTATTATATGATTTAGTTTTGACAAGACACTTTAAAATATTTTATATTTAATTCCAAGTCAATAAGAAACTCAGGAATGAATACTATTAAATGTAAAGAATGTAGGTCAATCAAATTGTAGACAATTAGGCTTAGCTATAAATAGGTGTGTTTATTTAGAATTCAGAAGTGGTGGTCTTCAAAGAACATTCATGAACATTATGGAGTCTCTCCATGCAGTTCCAATCTATTCTATTTTAAATTTTCTTTTCATTTTAAATGCAATAAAGCAAAACAATAAAACAACATAATGAAACAGAACAATATTGGATTTCAAAAACAAGGCAGAAGGTAGTGCCCATAGTTGTTATATTGCATATTGTTATTCTCTAAATAAACGCTCAGACACCAGCTTTAGGCCTGCAAAGTTGATCAAGCAATACAAACATTACGTTGCTTTTTTACTTCAGTTGCTAACATCTCAGCCTGTGTTTCTCCAAATAGGCTGGTTGCTTCCTGGGGTGAGAGGAGTTCCAATCCATTCTCTTTTCTTCCTCTCTGTTTTGAGGTGTTAGCTCTGTTGATTGAGTATGTAACATTCAGAGAATACATTTGTCTTACAAGTAATTTCACCTGTGAAAAAATTACATTATTACCCATTTAGCATTATAGCATTGAACTAAGACAAAAACACAAAGCAACAATGGTATAGCCGTGATATGGATTTACTGCTAATTCTGCAAGTAGACATGATGATGGTATCCTGAATCCACTTCTAAGATCACATTCCTTCTATTTCAACCTTAGTGTCATGCAGAAGATTGTATCTGCAATGTCCTCATCCTTATAAGTTTACATATAACTGAAAATATTATATGCCTGTCTTACAGACTATGAACTCATAAAAAGCAATGGCTGACTTTTCATTAACTAACAACCAGCAAAAATGTATTCAATAAATCAGTTGAAATTCATAGTCATAAACTTCCAGCAAATAACCAAAAGTTGTTAATGCTGTTTGTGAATGAACCTCTTCCAATTTTCTCTGTCTAAAATGTTATAGGAAAAACAAGTTTGTTTTACTACAAAAAGCTTTGGTTTCATGTTTAGGTAGAGTACAAGCTAACAAATACATGTTCACTTATTTTCTTGGTAAAAAATAAGCCCTTGGATCTCTGCATAATAAATTAGGGCCTTGTGGTAGAGTGCAGTTTAAGCTGGACTATGAGAGCATCTTCTGTGTTGCAGTGTGGGAAGGGTTCACAGTGAGGTGAGACATCTTAAACTTTTCTTTTTTCCTGGGTTTGGCTCTTGCTTAGTATCCCTCAGGAAATGAGCTGTTAAGGGATGTGCTGCCACATCAAAATTCTGAAAGAAGATACCTTAAACCACCAAAGTAAAGCTTCCTTTGTGGATAATGTAGCTGGCTGAGTATAGCACATTTCATCACTGACCAACAGAACAGAAATAACTAAAGCTCAAGTCTCATTCCAGAAACATTTCTGACAAAACAGTTTTCTCAACCTTCAGCTTGTGGTTTCACATTGGATCACTTCAGCACTTTGCTGGTTAAACAACTCTGATGTGAAATGTGAATCCCAGAAAGAATTGTTTCATCCCAAACAGCTGGAAAATTGTTAATTTTTGGTGCCCGGCCACTTGTAATAGATTCCAAAGGATCATTCCAAATCCCTATTTATTCTGTTCTAAAAATTGTATTATTCTGTAGGTTTTTTTAGAAACCGTGGACTGCAGTCTTGGTATCTCTTTGTAAATGTTGTCTCTCTTTTGATCAGAGCTATAAGCAAATAATCTAAGCTCAGAGCCAAAGTTCTGATGGTAGATTTAGGCATGATCCCTTCTAAGCACTGCTGTCTGCACTCCACAGAGTACGTAAGAACAGAGTTTCCAAGTCAGCTGAGGAAGGCCTCCAAATGGGTGAATTCTTGTCTCTTCTCTGATTCCCATCATCGCCATTATTTGCAATATTTTTCCAAATAGGTTCTTTTTCAATATATTAAGTGTCTTTGTAAAATTATGGATACTAAATGTTATATTTTTAAAAATTTGTTAAAATCATACTTTACTAACTTTATCTCTGAAAATGGCATATAGCTTTTTCTTAAAGAATACAAGGTACTAGAAACATTGTTACTTTCTTTTTTAATTAAGTTTTTTTTAATTTTATTTAAGGAGAAAAAAGAAAAAAAACAGAAAAAGGGTATAAGTTATACAGAATTTCAGAAAAGATAGACAGTAGGAAATCACTAGTTAATTACATATTGTCATCTTAGAAATATTTGTTGAAGTTACAAAATTAAAGCATATAAAGGGGACTTTCAAACAGTGAGACTGCCAACTGTTTTGTTCAATGATCCAACAAAACTCAGTCATATGGTTATCTATCTTATACACTTAAATATATATGCAGTTATATCTTTTAGAGAACTTTCTTTTCCTTTCTTTTGTACAATGACAATTACACATTTTGGGTTTTATTACTCCCACAGTTCTTATTACTTTTTTTTTTTTTTTGAAGAAAGTAAAACCAAATGTGACATACCAGGACAGAGTCAGTCAAATCAAAAGGATGGAAATAATACATAATGTAAAAACAAAATACAAGGTGATCAACAATGGTTACCATAATGCCTCTTGTTATCTTAAAAAGAATTGCCTATATCATCAGTTATAATAAAATTGAACAAAACAGTAAAGAATAAGACCAATAAAACCAAAACAAGGCAACAACTATGAAGACAATAAGATTCATTGTGATGCCCATTCTGGTTGACTATTATCTTCTTTTGAAGTCCTCTAATGTCTCTAATTAATTAAGTTTATAGGTACTTGTTAGATATACATGATGATCGCATTCATCACAAAGAGTTTGTACTTGTCCGTGATATATCTTGATCCCTTTTTATTTTTTTTCCTATTCCCCTCTCCCACGTTGAACCCCAGGGTGTGCATGAATTTGAGGAGTGAACAATCAATGAAGAAATCATTAGATGGTCTCCCAGCTGCCAGTGTGTGCCCCACTGTGTGAACCACTGTTTGATCCACTGTGTCTACACTTTCATCCTCTTTGGGAGCAGAGGAAAAGAGTGACGTCCTACTGCCAAACTCTCTTTCCAGGGAATCACAGCTGCCCAAAAGTGCATTGAAGTCAAGAAGTCCTTGCCCATGTGTCATTGATTCAGGATACTTTGAGGCTGTGAATTATAACACCTGTTCTGGCAGCATTCTAGTGCAGGGTGATCTAACCCAGACTGAATCACAAGCAAGTGAATCTCTGTGAGTCAAATAGAACTCATCTTTTCCTTTCTCTTCCCAGAAGTCTGATAACTGACAATCTCAGGAAACTCCCTCTGTCTCGGTCATCTCCTCAGTCAATTTTAAAATGCTAGGAAATGTTGGGAAAATGGTACATCCATACAGATGATACTGCTGTGTGATCATTCTTGGGGTTTGTGTGAATTCTTCAATACGAAAAAGCCCATTACAGAGCCCATTTATCTACCTGGTTTCAGGCCGGCTCCTTGTGAGGTTCCAGGATTCTGACACAAGCAGATGAAGAGGAAACAGTCATCTAACTTCTGATGCAAGTATATAGATTGTAGATACACCCGCAGACCTGAGCCACAGTGTGTCTATTACACATTACATGATGCAAAACCTTTTTTTCACACTGGTGGTGATAGTTTGAATACTAAGAATAATAAAGGGGTTTTGTTTCTCCTGTTACAGGAAAAATTTTAGCAATGTTTAGATGAAAATCACTATATTTATGTTTTTCTACTGTTTAGTCAATGCCAAGGAGTTTATATTATCAGCATTTTGTGTCACTAGTTAGCCTTTATCTTTGGATGAGCCTTAGAACCTATTAAAGAGTTCTTTCTGTTTCTTTCTTCCTAGTCTCCCTGTCCTTTGGGCTATTGTTTTATAGAATACTTCAACTTATAAAGGAATAGTCCTTCAGAAGTAAAGAAATGCAAGAATTTTAAAACCCTTAATTGCTGTTTGTTTCCTATCTTACGACACTGAATTCTAACTTAGTGCTCAACAATCCAAATTAAAATTCCAAACATTCGTTTATCCAGTTGTGATGCTGAAGGGAGGCTTAGTAAACCAAACTTAGTGTTAGTAAACTGAAGGCGTGAAAGCTTTCGTCCATGAAATACACTGACAGTAGACTAATAACAAGAAAAACAACATACACTTCATTACATGGAGTGAGCCTCCTACAATGCTCACAGTGCCTGTCCATGAAGCCACATGCAGGGCTGGAGCCTCTGGAGAAAAGGAAGGGGCATCCTACACACAAACTATCATACATCACAAGAAGGAAGTCAAATGCAAGAAGATAAAACATTATTTCCATACAGGTTAGGACCTGCTCTATTTTGTGTTCAGGACCTAAGGGGACTCTAAGAGTATCTGCCTACTTTTAAATAACTTCAGTTTTCCTTATGTAATAACCAATTAAACAGAATTGTGAGTATTCTTCTTGCCACCTACTAGATTCTCATTTAGTGAGGTACAGAATGCATACAGAATCATCTTTGGTCTAATTGTTCACAAATTTGTGATATTATGCTTTTAATTTACAGGGTAAAAGTGGAAAAATGACTCACAAACATTGTTTATGCTTCCTTGTGCTTGACTAATGGCCATTGTATAAGGTGACCCTGGCCAGCGCTTGAGAAAAGCTGCCAAGAACACACAGACAGTCCAAACGTCACCAAAGATAAGCAAGTTACAGTGCACAGTCTGGTGGCAGCAGATACCTACACGAAATTATTTCTCCAAATACAAGCAATTCACTTAGAGAAAGTGCAATTTATACTAATAAATATTCCTCTGGTAATTAACATTTTCTTAAATATCTTTTTGGACATATTCTGCTGGATATTCATGATTGGTCTGAGAAATCTTGCCAAATATTTTCTAATAAAGTAATACTATCAAAGTAATATTATACTACTAATTTGGTAATAAATTAAAAGCTATTATTAAGAAATAGTAGAACACATTAATCATGCTTTGGTTGAATAAATAAAACTGCAAAATCATACCTACAATTGTAGATATATTTGTGTGAATTTAACTCAGAGGTATTAATAACTTTATTAAGATAGGTGAGACACTCAACCAAATATTCTTTGGCATTCAACCAAATATTCTTTGCCACTTTAATATAGTTTGCTTTAATATGTGCTAACTCATACTTAGGATATTTAAAATAGATTCAAATAGCATCAGCGTAGAACTACCAAACTCTCTAAAGTTAGGGTTATGGACTGAATTGTAATTTTGATTGCTTGAGTGGAGATAATAGTTTTTCTACTTTCAGATTTTGAGTCAATGATATGCACTAATAGTTAATCAGAAGTCACTATATTAGCTAGCATTAACCATGGCAAATAAACACTTTATGTATTCATTTTTATTTTTATGCCTTTGTCCAAATATGTTCCCTATTTGTCTAATGGGTCCCCCCATCTGGCATCCTTTGTTCTATAGTGAATTTTGATTTGTCCTTCATAGCCTGGTTCAAACGTCAATGCTTTCCTTCACCCATCACTTTTAGAAAGGTGCTGCCAGTAGTATTGATATAGCTACAGATAGAT